ATACGTGCAACATTGAGCAGGGTTTTGGAGCAAAGAAAACTCTGCCATGATTGAGGGCAAAAGTAATTAGGGGGAAAGAATGGTTGTTGAGAGCTGAAGAATGCAAAAACAACTTCTATTGCTAAAGCACGATTTTGTTTCTCACAAGGGGAGATCTTATTGCTCTCCACAACTACCTGAAAGGAAGCTGTGGAGAGCTGGGGGTCGGCCTCTTCTCACAGGTAACTAGTGACAGGTCTGGAGGGAATGGCCTCAAGTTGCACCAGGGGAGGTTTATGTTAAAAATTAGGAGATATTTCTTCTCAGAAAGAGTAGTCAGGCATTGGAAAGGGTTTCCCAAAGAGGTGGGGTCATCACCATGCCTTGGGGTGTTCAAGGAAAGGTTGTACTTGGTGCTTAGGGACATGGTTTAGTGAGTGACATTGGTGGTGGGGTGATAGATGGACCAGACAATCTTGAAAATAAAACAATAAATAAATATATAGTTAAGGTGGGGGAGGGAAGAGGTTGGTGGCACGGCAGGCTAGGATCATTACACTAGGGTGTAAACTCCAATACCTGAGAGAAACCAGACCCTCTGCACAACTTCCTCTGAGACACTCCTCACATCTGCCCAGAAGGGAGGCAAAGGCTAGACAGACAGAAGGTGCTCTCAGGCAGGCCCCCATCATCACCCTTGGCACCCCCTCCCAGTTTCTTCCCGTCCTCAGGCTTTAACCACTAACACAGTCCTTCAGGAACATTCATATAGTCTCTGCAACCAGGGAGGCTCATGGACAAGCACTGTAGCTACCACTGATGGCTTCCTAGGTAGATTTTCCATCCCATTTTCTCACGTCCTCTTCATGGTCACATAGGTAAAACCACAGGGTGGCACGGGGTGTATACCCACTGTATCTTCTTTCTTGAAGAGAAGGACGCTTGCCCCTGATAGCTGAGACACTGGTTTGTACAGGTGAGGAGAAAGGTGAATTCTCTCTAAGTTGGCTGGAAATTTCAGAAAGTTTCTCGAAAGTATTCTCTTTTAGTTGGTGGAACTGGAGAAAGTTTCTCCACGGCCAAGACGCAGGCCTGTAGGGAAGAGGAGAGACTTTCTTCGTACTGCGGGAGTTGTTTAGCCAATTCATCTACCGTGTGTTCCTCACAGTCTTTCCAGGTCATTACTACCAATGAGTTGGCATATGATGATGGTGCACTCCATACAAACTTCCGCCACATGGGTGGTGTACACTTGACTTCATCTGGATCTTTGGATAGCTGGTCATTGTCTAGGTCATCATAAATCACATCCCACACAGCTAATTCCCTCGGGTACTGGATTCCCTTCTCCATGGTGGTCCATTTTCCTGGCTCACATACAAGATCTTCCCTGAAGGGATATCTTTCCTTCACACCTGACAGGAGACACCTCCAGAGGGTCAAGATTTGTGCTCCATTTCCACTTGCTTTGTCAATGCAAGTGATCCCAGCTGCCTGGCTTCCCTGCCCTCCAATTCCCTGCCTTCCAATTCCCTGCCCTCCAATTGGCTGTGGTGTCCCAGCACTAGAGCAGCCAGGTGACAAGGTGTTCACCTGCACAATGACCAAAACCTTTTGCATATCTCGTAGCTCATGCTGGGATAGGCCTCAGGTAGTTATTGATGCTTTTATGATACCTTCCTCTTCATTTTCCCGTTCGTTTGATGGCCCAGCCACCACAGAGTAGCCCATCTCATCGTCTCATCGTCACCTTGCTCCCCAGTCTGAGCAGGAGTTCCTCTGTGTTCTAAACAAGCTGACTTTCTCATCCCTTGTTTCATCTTGGTTACACGGGCAACTTGCACTGCTACAGTCCGTTTCCCTGACCCAAACGCAGGGCCCATGACAGGGGTTGGAATAACCGCTGGACAGTAGCAAAGTGCCCAAGGCCCATATCAGCCCTTATCCCAAAACCACAGACACAAATCCAACAAAACATGTTTATTGCTCATTCTGTGGAGGCTTTGCTTTTTCAGCAACACCTGCCACAGAGGCATGTCCGTGGGCCCACCACTGCCTCCAGAAAGCCCTAACTCTCCAACTGCAGTTGCAACCTGTGGAGAGGGGGAACACATGCAAGGGGAGTACAGTCTGCCTTCTGTGCACAAAGTCTGGCTCTCAGAGGTGCACTCAGTTTTCTCTCATTTGGGGATAAAGAACAAGACAAGGCACCACAGAGGCATCATCTGGGGGCAGACTCTTCCCCACACACCGTCCTGGTTTCCTCAGGCCTCAAAGATGGCAGGCAACAAACATGATGAATGAAATTTGTTGGAGTGAATGGGGGGAGGAGGGACGATGACAATTGTGGGAGTGACTGGCAGGGCAGAGTAGAGTCCGTATACTGGGCTTGGGAAGGGAGACACTCCAATACCTGAGAGAAACCAGACCCTTTGTATGGCTTCCTCTAGGACTACTTGGAACTACTTTAGTAGTTTTTTTACTTTTTTTTTTTTTTCCCTAGGACTACTACACAACAAAGCATGTTTATTGCCCACTCCATTCAGACTTTGTTTTGACAGTGCCACCAGCCATTGGGGCTGGCACTCTCCTCTGGGTGCTGGAAGCAGGTGACACCTCATCCATCTCTGCTGGTGGTGATGCCTCATTCTTGGGCATGGCCACGCTCTGAAGCTGTGTCTGGGAGGCCAGGTACCACATGCATGTGGAGCATGAGCGCCAGCATGGCCCAGCACAGGAAGAAGCCCTGAGAACCAGGGATGGGACAATGTGGCATAAAGCCCACACAGACACCAGGGTTCTGTTAGGGATCAGTAACTGCTACTACTTTATTGATAACATAACTTCTACCCTATCTTATTGAGGACAAGCTCCCTTCTTAATTTGCTCTACAGCAGTACTTTTCCACTAACTATTCATTGGTCAAACAACTTTGCTCAGCAACCTCAAACATCCAGCAACTTCCATGTCTTAACAACTAGAGAACAAGCGGTCTGAGACAGCGTCTCCTGAATCACCCTTCTTTGTTCCTTGTAAACTCTTTGCATTCTCTTCTCAGCCTCACACTGTACATCATGTGCTCCAGCACCCTGACTCTATTGGTGGCCCTGACCTGGACTTGATGCAGTTTGTTCAAATCTTTCCTGTACAATGGAGTCCAAAACTAGGTGTGGTCACATACCAAACAGGAGAAATAATCAGGTCCCTCAACCTGCCTACGCTCATGTAACACAGCCCAGTATGGGCATACTGCTGGCATACCCAATTTGCTGTCCACAGGACCCTAACTCCTTGCAAAGCTGCTTTCCACCCAGCTGTGCTCCAGCTTGTGCTGTTGCATGGAGTTATTCTGTCTGAGGTGCAGGACTTCACAACTGCCTGCGTTGAACTTCATGAGATTTCTGTCAGCCCATTTCTACAATCAAATTACCTCTGAAAGAGCAGCCCTGTTTCAGTATACAAGCTGCTCCTTCTCATTTAGCACCAGCAGCGGGCTCACTGACTGTTTAATGTACCCCATCATCCGGATTGTTATTGAAGGTATTAAAACAGTACCATCATCTCCAGTATCAACCCCTCAGGAATGCTGCTAGTAAATAGCTGCCAGCTGGATTTCCTGTCACTGCCTATCAGCAGTTTGCAAGTCAGGAAGGAATGTAGAGGCTATATAATCTGAGCACATTTGGCCCACAGTCGAATTTTGTGTTGATCCGAGTGTTTTGGACAGCTAACACTGAAGTTGTTCCGGTTTTACCTGTTTGCCTTCCATATGAAGTCCATAGGAGTCTCTTTTGCCTTCCCTGAATTACTTGCTGTTGTTAACCAGTGTTTAGAAAGATGATAGCAAAACATTAGGAAATACATATAGTGTAGATGAGGAAGAAACAGCAATCATGTAGAAGCCCCAACCTCTGTTTTTTGCAGAAGATCTCCTGAGCAAGAAGCAAAGGTGCACCATGATGTTGATTTCCAAGAACTGCTAAATCAACTTTTAGTTCTTCATTAATTTCCAGTTGCACTTTTTAAAGTTTAGTGGTTATGGCCTACTTTTCCAGTCTCAGTTCTTCAGACATGACTCACTGAAAAAATTTCACAAGGGGCTTTACTGCAGGTTGACATTGTATGCTATTTGTATACATACAAAAGCATAGAAATGGTTTGCTATTTGTCCTTTTCACCAATCTGCTCTCAAAATGAAATAGTGGTGAGCACAGAGAGGATCTTACTGTGGGTGGCAGTACATCCTGAGGCACTTTAATCAGTGATGTTTAGCTGGAGCCTGGTCCCCATTACCTTGGACCTGAAAGCTACAGGAGAAGACTAGAACAGGCCGTGCTTGGCAGGCTTGTGTTGGATGCTTATTATCAGCAATTTTTTTTGCCTGGTGTTTTTGTTGTTGTTGTTGTTGTTTGTTTTGTTTTGTTTTTGTTTTTTTGAGCCAGCTTACTGCAACCCATGGCCACAGGCCAGAAGTAATGGCTCAGGTTAAACTAAGAAGTGATCCAATGAATTCTCCAGGACTGAGAAAGGCTGAGGGTTTGGGACGACATGGTCAAGAAGTTTGTCTGCAGACTAGTCCCAGACGGAGAAAAGACAGGTCCCAGGCAGAGACAGCAGTGAGCTCCTAATGACAGGTCACAGCTTCAGAGACTGAAGCAACATGTGGCTGCCTACTGCATTGAGCTCTGTGGTGTCAAAAGCTGAAAAAATGAGTGCTTCACAGCACCTGCTCTTCAGACTGGCAGATTTTGGCTGCCTGGACAGACACTGGAGAGAAATGTGTCTGCAAATGAAAATCAAGTAATTATGCAAGATTTCAAAAGTATGGTCATAAGTGCAAATGCAGGCTCAAATTAAGGATTTGTGGGTTTTGCATTGTTCGGGTAGAACTTTCCTTATCACCAACCAGGAAAAGAAGAGGAAGCAGTCCACACAGAAGAGTGTACCACCAAACTGGCTATATTGGGTGTGTCTTACTAAAGCTGCATGAAAACTAAATTCTGCTGGTGCAACCAGACATGTAAAGAAACATTAGGTATCAGGTAGTGTTTATTACACAGAACATGTATACAGAGGTATACTGAAGTGTGTGACTGTCAGAAGGACAGCCAAATCTACCGTCAATTACCAGTCATCATCAGCCAGATCACTTCCTGCCAAACTGTGGCAATGGTGGTGGCACTTTGATGTCCTGGCCTCTTTCCAGTTTCTTCTCACAGTCAACAAGATAATTGACCCCATCAATGACAATCTGGACTAGTTCCACCTATGATGAGAAAAAGAAAAAAAAAGGGGGGATAGGGGGGAGAAAGAAATAAAAGCCTTAGATAATGCTGTTAATAGAGAAAGGCCCAGAACCCACACTTCAGAGGGAGAGGCCATCATCTTAAACCTGCGCTGGCTCTACTTTATCTACCACTCCTTTGTTTTCAGCTGATGTCTGAAAACTCAGGAGGGGGAGAGGAGGATTAGCTACAGGCCCAGAGCAGCACCAAAATTTGCAATTCTTTATGTCAGAGTGTATTGGTGCTTTTGTTACCTTTTTCAAAATTGCTGAAGAGTACAAGACACCTTGCTCCCATCAAACTTTCTCCACAGGCAGTGACAACTGTGGGCTGCAAGCCCTGTGGCACTGTCAGTGTCACAGTAGCCAGTAAGCTACAGCACTGATTTTTCTTAATTTTCATGAGATGGTTCATTAGCAACCTTTAATGACTGGTTTGTTAAAACTGGGATCAAAGACTAAATCCCATTGTCTCTTTATTGTGACAGTCACTGATTTTCAAGGGATTTGTTTTTACTATGAAACATTTCAGTGGCTTAGCAGTTTACTGTTTGTTATAGACCAGCTGTGTTGGGAAATCAGAGGCCTGAATTTGCAGCCTCCAGGAGAACAGGAATTCCATTTTTTGTTTGCATTGACCAGTAACTGAAACAAAACAAAAATACAAACAATTTTATCTTACACCTTTGGGAACATAATTCAATTCTGCAATCACATTTACCACATAATAGAATTTATTTTATTATAAACTGAAAAAATATGTCTTCTAATAAAACACTTCTATCCTCTTGAGTTTGGCTTGTCTTATTTAGATTTCAAAACCTTCAAGGTATGGATACTATCAATTCTGTTGGCTTAGTTCTTTGAATATTTGCCATACTGACTTCAGCCTGGCATCACTGACTTCAGTGGATGTCTTCATAAAAGGAACAATTTACAGAGGGTTTATACAGTAGAACTCACTAATTAATTATGCTGTGTAATCCTTTTGTATTGTTAGTGTTAATTTAGTATAAAGCATACGTCAGGGTGTTTCAGTTATTAATAAAAATTTGCTGCATACTGTTTTTCAAAATAATGCAGATTAATAGCTTTTCACTTCTGTATGTTTTGGTCTGGGTCCACAGGGACTTAGCTGCCTACATCAAACTCAGAAACATAAAATTTCCAATGCCCTGTCCAAACACCCCTTGACTGTGAAGACATCTAAGGACATGCGTTAAGTAAGAAAGCATAGAAAACCTGGCCTGGCTCTGTCCCTTTGAAAATGCAAGGCAAGCAAGAAGGGAAGCCAGCCAGCTGACTGTTTGAAATCAGGTGCAATCCAAGTGCACTATGCCAGGATTGTATTTGTGTTATGAAAGCCTACCAAGTATCAGACTGAATGCAGGTGTTGCACTGCAACCACAGTGCTAAATGGCATCCATATATAGACTCTCAAAGCCTCTCAGTGCTGTGCTCGTCTGGGAAAACACACCTAGACCACACACCATTCTTTGCAATGGAGCTGTAACTTGCAGCAAAGCCCCCGAGGTAATTTAGAAGGGTGAGCTGGCAGCACTTCAAATACTGACATGTACGAGCAGGTTGGCTACTAAGCCCGGGTTGTTCTTGGTGTTGTTCATGGAGAAAGGGTCCTCAGGAGGTACCTGTCCCACTAGGGTTTGCCCAGTTGGGCACAACTGAGGCACTGCAGCACTAACCTGGGAGACGAAATACAGGTTTGGCAGAAGATTTGAACCTCTGTCTTTTATCTGCTGGAAGAGAGCTCAAATCACTGGACTTACAGGGCCTTGGAAGGTTAATTTTTATATCATTGTTCTTGATGCAGCAAAGGGTGAATGCATCTGTGAAGCTGTAGATGTGTGACATGGCTTACAGCCTGTTACCTGGAATAAGGATTTGGCTCAGGAAGAGCTAGTGGAATGAGGCTGTAACTCAGCCACTGTTGTTTCTTTCCCATCCTCCAGCAAAATTGCTCTAAGGTCCTTCTCTTCTTTGTAAAATACTCAACTGTGAAACTGAAAGGAGGTTTGGGACCTGAGTCTCCATGGAGAGCAGCTTCACCACTGGGCTGTATGGTCATTTCCAATTTCTGGCTCAACAAATACACATTCAAACTGAAATAACTTCAAAAGAAGTGCCAGAGATGAATCCATCTCATCACGGCCTACAGCCAAACAGGGAGAACTCAGAGCTGACAGTTAAATCCTTGCCCTTATCAAAACACAGCTCTCTTGTGTCCTCTGCTCAGTGCAACACAGGACATGGGAAGGCACCAAAATTTCTCCATTATTCTGGAGTGAAAGGACTGAACTCATCCTGTTCTCATGCTGTGGAGAATGCCCAGGACTGAATGCTGAAAGTGAAACAACACATTGACCCAGTCTTGCTGTCAGTGCCAAATTCTCTGGGTGGGTTAGGACACAATCCCTACTTCTTTCCCTGACATTTTGCAGTAGTTCACATTACTGGAGCATGGTTAGGGCTTTTCCCTCCCTGCCCCTTGCATTGCCGTAACAAGAATGTTTGGCAAGCACGTAATGCGTGTTTGTAATTTTTTGCTATGTAAGCATTTCCATTGGGCCAGGAAATGGAAATTGCCATAGCTCCACTGAGGCTGGTGGTGACTCTAAGGCCAGAGGGAACCCAGATGAAGGGAGACTGGCTCATAACAGTACAAATCTGCGTTAAAAAAAAAAAATAATTAATTAATTAATTAAAAGTTACCTCTGAGCGACCCATGCGGTCCAGGTTGGAGATATCGTACACATCTGCTACAGCTGCCGTGTCCACTCCACCAGTGCCACGCTTTTGCAGCCTCAGGTTCTCCAGGATTTTTGGAAACCTAGGATCCTAAAAGAATAAACAGGCTTGTTTTTACAGCCTTTTAACCTGTGTAATGAGCTGAATCCTTGTAATAGTATCTGTGACATAACAGCATCTCCAGAAGTACTGGCAGAGGTGGATAGTTTTCTCAGTCCTTGGATTACAGCCTGTCGTGGTGGCTGTCTGATGAGTAGATTAATTTCCATAACAAATACAATAATTTGCAGAATAAAAGGTCACTTAATTAGTCCTGCATTATCCCTGGGACCTTGTTACACATGATGATGATGTGCAGTCTCTGTGAGCTGTTGTTTGTCATTTGTTCCTTTACAAATCATTTGTTCCTCTATAAATCAGAGGAGCTGACTTATGTCACTGGCCTTGTACACAACGTACGTACCTTGCTAAGCTTGGGCAGCTTAACATGGACTCCAGCGCGTAAACCAGTTCCCAGGTTGGAAGGACAAGTCAGAACATACCCGAGGCGTTCATTCCACATGAACTCCCAGCCCCTCTCTTTAATTAATCTTTCAACCTGTGAAGGCAAAAATAAAAAAGAAAGTGAAAAGAAAGGGTTGTATACATGTCTCATTTCAAGACGCTTGCTTATAGCTCAGACTCTTCTCACCCTGTGCCTGCGCTGATGAGGAACTCCACTGATGCCAAGGGAACTGCATAAATACACACCTGAGTACAGTCTGGTTTGTCTCTGGTGTGAACTTTTGCGTTCACCAGGCACCAAGGTCCCCACTGGATATTGCAAGGATTTATTCATTATTTTCTCACTATCAGTAGCTCGTGAACTCTGTCACTGTATTACAAAACTCCCTGTTATGATGGTTTGGTACAGCCCCTGCAGTCATAATTCAAGCCGGCACTATGGCTTCTGCGATGCATTTTCTAACCTCCGCGTTTTTGGAGCAAGGTTGCAAAGCACAAGCAACAGAGCCTCAAGCACTACAGAACAGAAAAAAATAATAATAAAATAAAATAAAATAAAATAAAATAAAATAAAATAAAATAAAATAAAATAAAATAAAATAAAATAAAATAAAATAAAATAAAATAAAATAAAATAATAAATAAAAAAGCAGCCAAAGGTGAGTTTTACATCATTTTCATGGTGATGCCATTATTCTTAGGCGGAGGACTCTTGATTTCAAAATGCCTAAATTTAACAGCCATACTTCCATTATAAGACGACTACACAGCTTACATATAATGATTTTTGTTAGTAGATCTCCAACCAGATCAGAAAGTAGACTGAAAAAATTATCCTCAGAAAAATCACATGGATTCAACAACCTTTTTTCTCTGTCCATTCAGCTAAACTTCCTGGGTTGAAATCTGCAATCCCCAGACAATCTCAGTTCAGTTCTCCTCTTCCAGAGGAAAATCATATATGTACACCAGCTCATGTTTATGAGATCTCCACAGTGTAGGAGGATAATTCTGTTCTGCAGAAGGATGCTGGTCAATTCCTTCATCCTCAGAGGTTTTCAGAGGTTTTAGCTTGATTTTCTGGTTATCGACCCACCTTTCTGGATCTCAGGGTCTTAAAAACAAATGAGACTGTATGTAGACTTTTTTTTTAAGTAATCTTTTAATGGGAGTGGTCTTGATTCAGTAAGAAGCCTTCTGTCATGAATGCAATTATGCATGTAGTTGTGGATCAGTGGTGGACAAGAGTACAGATGGAAGATGCTGTGTTCTGCATGAGATGTAGGATGTTGGACTTGATGATCATGGAGGTCTTTTCCAAGCTAAGCCTTCTATGTTATCATTTGTGCATTGTGTGCAGACACCAGAGTTGGGGGTAAGGAACAGACCACATCTGCTGCCTCAGACACCTGCTCTGGTCACTGTCTGACCACTTCTTTTGGCCAGGTCCGGGGGAAACTTCTGTTGAATCTGAGCTAAGCACAGTAGCAGAGGCAAAGCTGACAGCAGCATCCACAAGCCATGTCACCAAGCCATGTCACCCCCCTGTAGACTGTTCAGTCTCACGAATATGCCTTGGCAACCTAACAGATCCTGGTGAACCACCCCAATGCCAAAGAAGCATCCATTAGGTAGCTTTATTTTGCCAGATTCCCAAATTCACTACACACTCCAAGGATGCCTGTGCTGGGGTCTGTGAATGGTACGGAAAGGATGCACAGCTGTATCAGCTCTACAGTTGCGGGGGATTTTCTGAGACAGGGGTGCCTCTGGAAGGGCAGAGAACCTGCTTTGTAAAGGTGAGAGAAGTGAAAGAAGCTGTTCAAGGCTGGCCCAAAATGTATCTCCATGCCCAGGAATAGCAGTGTGATGGAGAGAAATGCGGTTCCTCCACAGTTCAGATGAAGTGAGTGTACTAGCGACCCCAATGGGGAGAAATAAGTGTTTTATAAAACATTATTCTTACAGTCTTGGAGACAATTTTCAGCAAATTTCAACCTTACATAGCTTAACCAATAGGGTTTTGTATTCTATGGCCATCCATCCAGGAATTATATGGACAGGGGTGGTGGAGAAGAGCTTTCTGCCATGTCACCTGTCCCACTGCACCTTTTTTGCTATACTGCATGTGGGGCAAAGTAAAATAATCCTTCTCTGCTAAAATATTTTTTTTTCCTGTGCCAGGGCAATACACGGGGCTAAGTAACATGGCCATCTTGCAGCCACACCTGGACTGTCTGGACAAAACTGCTGTAGCCCACATGCCACCCACAAAGGCTGTTTTGGTCTTTAGGAGTAGCTAGACCAGAATGAAATATAGGAGCTACGGCTACAGGGTTTTGTATCTTAAAATGCTTAATTTATGATTTCCCACAGCTTTCAGGCACAAAGTGGTGAAGAAGGGATATTTCTTTAGCCAGCCCATGCTGGAGACTATAATACAAAAGCTACAAATACATTTTATTATTCAATTATTTCACTATTCAATTTTATTTTTCTATTCTACTCTACTTCTATTCTATTCTATTCTATTCTATTCTATTCTATTCTATTCTATTCTATTCTATTCTATTCTATTCTATTCTATTCTATTCTATCCTATTCTATTCTGCTATTCATTTATTTATTCCCTACAGCTCAGCTAGCAATTTGCCTTTGCATCTTTCTTTAGCTGCACTAGTGTGGGTTGCTGTTTGGACTGGTGTTACTTCATTTTGTTGCTCCTGGAGATGCCAGATTAGTGTGAACCACGGTAAGCAGTGCTGACAACAGCCCCACAACACACAGGCAGGAAAAACAAACTCATTGAGTTACTACCTCTTTTAAGCCACGGCAAAATCTTTCAAACACCCGTTTCATGTTGCCACCCTTCTCCATGGAGATCACCCTGGTGTGGTCCTCTTCATTAATCCAGATGAGAAATGTCTTGTCATTGTTATGCCTGGTTGAAAGGAGAGAAGTGTCTTTAAAGTATGAGACTGAAAAACAATTCTCACTATCCTCAGCTTTATCACAGGCTTTTGAGACTGTGGGGGGGGCTAATTGCAGCAACATGACATTGTTTTGCAGAGTTAGGGATGAGCCAGGAGGAATGTGTGCACTCCAGCTCGAGCGCAGCAAGGGAAGAAGACCAGCCCTGCATCTGCCATCAATGGGGACATTTTCTTATCAATCTTAGAAAACTGCACAGCTAGGAAAAAACCCTGACATTCACATGCTGCTGGGGGCCTAGCACTATGTCCTCACTTTATTGAGTTTTCTGAATCAAGTCCCACTGTCTCTCTTGCTTGCACTGGATGGCTGCGTCAGTCAAGTTACATGTTGGACATGTGGACACTGCATTGGAGATGCTGGCTTGTCAGTCAAGCTACAGATGCCTGAATTTACCCACTCATGCTTCAAACAGATCCCTTGTGTCTAGATTTGTGAAGTGCAGGGTCAAAGCTGAGGTCACTTTTCCTGGCTTTCCTTTACTTTCTCTGTCTTTCACTACCACATCTCTTGCAGCAGGTACGAGCTGATTGGTATGATCAAACTCATTTGTACAAATACCGGAATATCAGCAAGGTTGAAACACACGAAATTTGGAAGATGAGGACTAGGCCTGACTATGAGTTTGTCTTCTGCCAACATAAAGCTGATCAGGTGTGAACATCCCGTGCCCTGACATTAGAGTCACCTGAGGCCCAGCAATTTCATTTTCAGTCACATACTAATATTTAGGGTAGGCTTTTTTTAAAGAGGCTGATGTCGGCCTTACATAGCTCCCTTTTAATTAGTGACCTCTTCCCATTGCTGTGGGGTGGGTGGCTTTCAACCATGCCTTCACTGCTGCAGAGCTTGGGGGGAATATTCCTGCAGCTCAAAAGAAGGACAGGATCTCAGGCTTTCTAAGAAAAACAAATTCCAGATTATGAGTGCCTCTAGACAACAGTTTCTTGCAGAAGAAGGGTGTGTTTCCCAGTTCGGCTCACTGAAATACTTTCCAATCACAGGTCTGTTGCATTCAGATCACTGGATAGTATCTACATGGTTGGTATTTTTTCTTTTTGTTTGTAGAAACAGCCTCAAATTTATAATTTTCCTAGAGCAAACCTCTTCCTCAGACCTAAATGGAGACCAGGAAGCCAAGCTGAAGTTCCTTGAAATAAAAAATCCTTGTGATTTCCAGCAGGTCATCAGGTTTCATGGGTGGTCAGGTTTCATAGTGCCTGCTCCCCAAAAGAAAGCAGCTTCAGCTTGTTACAGTAACACTGGATGTGTTTCTGAACACCAGCCAGTTTTGCTTGGAGAACAGATATTTTTTTCCCCACATAAGGATCAAACCTCTTTGAAAGACCCTGAACCTTCCTAGAACAAGGAGGTAAGATGACCTCACAGAGTTCTTTTTGCCTAATTTTTCAAAATTAAAACATCCAGTATTCTCTCTATATATACCAGGATGGATGTAGATGTAATGCACTGCCCAGACTCCCCCTATTATCTTCTAGTGTGCACAGATTTGGGGTCTATTCTTCCCATTCTCTCCCTAGAAAATATTCTGTTTGGGCACAAAATACATCAAGCGTGTTGTGATAGAAGAAACAGACCTAGAATAAAATGGGAAATTCGGCTTCTGCTGTACCTTATCTTTGTCCAGTTTATTTGGAGGGAGTTACTTTTTTAGGTTGGGGAGCAAGGAGGGGGGACAGGAGTCTGTGATGCAGGGTCCTGTAGCTGTATTGCCATCTTTTAAAAGCAAACTGAGAGTGCTGTGAGTATCAGGACAAAGCGGCTGCAACGTTAGGACAAGCAAGGAGACTAGTAATACAATCTTTAAAACGCAACACACACTTCTGCATGCCACACAACGTACCAGATTCCTCTGGCATCTGGCCAGTCACGAGCCATCCCAGCACATGTTAGCAAAGGAGACACTGGCTTGTCAAAGAGAAAATGATCCTGCACACCAAAATGGGGCCAAAGAGAGAGAGAAAGAGAAAAAAATAAAAATAAAATAAAATTATTGAAGTTTATTCAGTATCACGCTGTCTCAATGCATTTTGCATGAAAGCAATCAATGTACAAGTAAATCACATAGTGCATTCTGTGAACCTGGTTCCTTCTGGAAACTAAAAGCACATTACCCAGCAATTTGCCTGAATCTTGCAGGTTCTCACTGGCATTGGTAATCTGACAGTGTTTTGCCAGAAAACACTTTTCAAGCGTAGGGAGGAGTGGGAGGTGGGACCTAACACACACAAATGGCAGAGGAAACTCTGCAAGGATGGATGGCTGGAACCAGAGATGCTCTCTGCATACAGATGAATTTCATTGTAGGAGAAGGCAACAGTCTTTAAAGGCTGCAGAATACCCAGTGCTAGGTCTGCAGTGAGATCTCTGTAGCACGAGGGTTTAGCACGGTATTCAGAGCAGGAAGTCGGGGTAGGAATTATGCCCATGCTGGGCTTGCCCTTTGGCATCATGGATTTGTTCCGCTCCTCAGCAGTGATGCCATTTCTGAGTTAATAAATGTTAATAATTGGTGTGCCACCGACTTGCCTCATTTCAAATCATTTGGCTTTGCTTTTTTAATCGAGCAATATTTCTTTTTTTTTTTTTCAAAGCAAGTAAGATTTTCATGTGCTGAAAAATTATTAGTTCTTAATTCCTCAAACACTGCCATATCAAATATTGTTAATATTTTTTCTTCTTCTTCCCCTAGAGTTTAATTAAGAACAGTGAGACAAGCTATCCTGAATAAATATGACATGGTGGAGAAGCTGATAAGCTTTACTTTTCCTTACTTTCTTTCCTTCATCAGTGGAGTATTTAGGACTTTCATCTCTGAATACCATGTGATGGGCATGATGCAGCCAGAACCCCAGCCATGCAGGAAAAAAAGACATAGGGTTCTCTTTGCTCACCACAGGGACACAAAATTACTTTCATTGGTTTGCTCTACTGTGTCCTTTTGTTTGGGAGGAAAATTCCTCCTTTTGCAAGAAAAAGCTGAGCACCATTACTTTCCATTATGTGCATAAGGGCCCAATCTGCAATGTGCTGATGTCCTTCAGTGCTGAGTACCTACCATTCAACTGGCACTGATTTGATCCTACAGAGATTGTTCAGTGCCTGTTAAAGGCTGGCAGCAAGCCCTAAGAAACGTTGGAGTTCTGAGGTCCTAAAACATTGAATGGAGCAAGCAATGGTATGAGTAAATGATGGAATCTGGGGTTACAACACTCAGTGCCCTGAATTTTATAAATATACATTGGTAACCTAAAATGATAACCAATATCATGTCCATAAATGTAATAACAAGGACACTCAATTAAAAAAGTTATTGACCTTACATCCATTCTTAACTCCTGGTTAATCCATGTCATAACACCTAGTTGCATGGTTTTAAATAGTTATGTTACTTCATCAACTGCCTTTTGGTTGATGTTATGAATTACTGTGTCGTGAATATAGTTACCAGGGTACGGCCCTTCTTTTGAATATTTTAAAATGGGCATTCAGTGTTCTTTTTTTAAAAAAAAAAACCTTTTAGATTTTTGTAGTTTCTACAGTCCAAACACGAATCATTGTTATGGATTTTCAGGATAGTTACCTGTTGTCCATTTTTGCCAGGTAAGCACTTTGGACACTTTGTTAATCTCAAACTACTCTCTGCAGTAACTGAACAATGACATGCTGAGACAAAATCCATGGTGAAAATCCTTGTTTTTCCATCTGTGTGACAAAACTTTTGTTATGCACCTGATCCTTTAAGTCCTTGAACACAGTTCCAGGACTGGGAAAAGGTCAGTGGGGTGCAGTTGACTACCACCATTCTGGGGAAATTAGAATTTATGTAGTTTTGACATAAAGAAATTATAACCAAAACTACCCCTCCAACAGTCTAGACAACAGATAAGATGCAATGTTCATCTCAAAGTAGTAGGTAACATTTTTAGTTAGTATGGTTATTAATATGGAAAATATCAAACTTTGCTCAAGGAAATGACCAATAAAAACTCCAGAATTTACTCATTTTTTTGTCCATAAAAAGGTGGAAGTAGCCATTCATATTTGATTTGACACAGAGCTTGCTATCTGGAATACCTGGAATTCCACATGTTGGACCTGGATAGTATGTATTTTTGCCAAAACACAAATCCTGGACAATTTACCATTATGTTAACAATATTGCTGGGCCATTAATTACTGAGTTAACACTGTGATTATTGTCCTTAGCTACACAGGAAACTATATACCCCAAAGGAAGGTGAAGGATAAAAATAAACGAGGGTAAGAGAAGACGGTGTCAGCACCAGAGCTATACTTACATCAATAAGCTGCTGCTGATCCCTCTCCGACATGTTGGTCAAGCTGTAGTACTTTCCAGAAAGGTCTCCTTTCAGCCCAGCGAGGGCGGTGACCACAACATTTTCCACCTCTCTCCTCTCTGCCCTGGTGCAGGCAGGAGGAAGGCTGAGGCCACGGATGCTACGTCCAGTGCGCACACGTGATGAGAGGACATAGCGCTCATCAAACTGACCATGGGTGATCTGAGGAAAGAATTTTATTTTACTTTTTAATTCACACACAGTGCCTCATTTTGTACTCCACCACTGAAGGAAAAATGCCATTCTACAGAAAGAGGGACATTTTTCTGCCTGGGGATCTCAACTTTCCCAAGATATCACTAATACTCAGGGTACCACGAGCCCCTCAAAGCTTCAGACACTAGGAGGATGTTTTACGAACGATTAGTTTCTTTGGCTGAAAGGATGTGGTGGAGTAACCAGCTAGTCCTTTATGGCCCCACCATGGAGGGGCCAGGAGGCCAGGTATGGAAGATCTTTTGAAAGGGGAAACCCCAAAAAGATGCTAAATCACAGAGCGGTGGAACAATGAAGGAAACATTAGGCAGCAAATAAGAACTACTACATACACTACCATAACTGTAAGAAGCAATCATTAACCTTCATTTCCTCATCATTTTATTTCAGTCCTACCTTGGATGCATCCAGGTCAGTGTGATGCTTCATTGTGCGTGGATCATAGCCATTATGTCTCGCTTTAATGACAGGATCAAAAATCTCAGCAAACACCTGTGGAGCCAAGAGAATCTAGAATGAGTCTTTAGCATCACAGAAAGAGTTAAACGCGCCAGCCTCAGACACAGGAGAACCCCCCTGACATGGGACCCTGGGTGGCAGGCAAAAAGGGGGCTTTGCAAATGCTGACAAAGGTAAATATGAAAGGAAAGGGTCATTTCGACCTAGACAGTGCTCTACAGTGGTTGCTCATCCTCACAGCAAAATGAAGGTGCAACTGCACATTAGTTAAGTTACAAGCCTACTCTAGATGCCACGGGCAGGCACTGGACATGGTGGCAACCAGACTGGGTTTCAGGATGCATTACCAACCAGAACACACAGAGTCTCTTGACAGCTTGCCTCCTGCTCGTGCAGTGATACCATGGTCCTCATTAGAGCCCCTTGGCTCGTGTGTATCAGCAGTGGCCACAACCACGCCTCCATTCAGTCTTGGAGCAGTAACCCTGGAAGTTTTTCAGGGCAGTCACCACATCTAAAGGAGAAAACTGAACCACAGGAGCTGATGACCCAGAATGCCAGATGTCCCAGCCCAGACTCAGCAGCCCAGCATTTAGGCTGCTGTTAAGAAAATGTATAATAACAGGTAACATAGTGCGGTAGACTGAAGGAAGGAGATCATTGACTTCAAAAAAACAAAGAATTTTCAAACAAGGATTTTCTTTTTCCCTAATCTTCTTAATATTTTGGAATTAAATAACCCTATTCATCCTAATGCTGTCTATTTTATGCTTTTGTCATGATCCAATAGCTGTAGCTTAAAGGTGTCTGGCAGTTCCCAGATGTTTTAATTTCAGTTCTACCTCAGCTGTTCCACAATGCAGTTTCCACATTACCTTCATTTTGTGTGTCTCAGGGTTGCATAGTTTTCCCACAAACTAAGTTTAGTAGTAGGAAGGAGGGCAGTTGCTAGAGGCAGGTAGAGTATTGCTCCCAAGCAGCTGCATTTTATTAGCTTTGACTGCAATAGAGAGGGTACCTGTAGCAATGCCTCATGTCTGCACATTTCCTAATGTGGAAGAGTAGGGAAAACACTGTCTTTACGCACATGGCATGCTACAGATATACTCTCTGGGATGCTATTTATCTCAGGAGCACATACCCTGCCAGGAATCACTGTTCATCTAATGAGCTCTTGGGAACTACAGCATTGAAAAAAAAAAAGAAACAAATGTGATAGTGTTACAAAAATATTTTACCTCGTAGGATTCTTCATCACCTGCCACCATGCCCACAGTTTTAATGAAAGGATGGCCAGGATTGTCCACCCCGGTTTGGATGCACTGGTCCAGGGTGTAGCCATTGGGAGTCATCTTGTCCCTTAGCTTAGCATAAATGGCTGGAGTGAGGCACTCAGCCATGCAGTTGTTGTGTTTGCGAAGATCCGGATAGTCGGCGCTGAAGAGAAAAAAGGCAAACAAACAAGCAATTAACACCAAAAATGTAAACACTGATCCTTGATAACTTACGGATGTATTAAAGGGATCATGAGATACGGAGCACACAGCATGGTTTAAAAGCATAATTAGTTCTTAGTTTATACATTGCATCAAATTTTAGGAGGGGAGGAACATTCAGGACACTCCAAATACCCCAGACTGTGCTTGGATGGGCAACCACACTGGCAATTGCATCCTTCTTCTACCTGGGGCATCCAGGAAAGTGAATCCCAGTGAGCTTTGAAAGTGTATTGAATCCCATCAAGTCTCTGTTGAGACACTCCTAGTCAGAAATAAACAAGCTATAACATTGTTTTGTTGAGTAGGAAGGGAACTAAATGTAGCTGAAGAAAGGTTTGCAATTCTGAGCCAAGGTGCTCTCGCAGCTTGTCAGTGATGGGCATGAGTGGGGCTGTCTGCTCTATGTCAGCACGGAAATTAACTTATTCATAATACCTGGCATTGTAATGGCATCATTATTACTTACATGCAGCTGCATCATATTCCAGCCAGGGAAAATGACAATATGCTTTAGGAAGACATTTTTGCAATCGAGTCAGACCCCATCTACCTTGTAACAATTTGCCTTATGCACAACACTATTATTTCTATAAGAATTTTAACTAAGGTGTTTTTCACTACAGTCTGCCAGTGCCTGATCCATGTTGTTTCTCACAAATATGGCCAGCAACATCAACCTACACAGAAGGTCTGTAGTTAGTTTCTAATAATAAGGAACCAGTTTGTAACAGAATTAGAAATATTTCAAGTACAGTAGTTACACAGGAGATTTCTTTGTTACTTGCATAGTGAAAATACGTTCACAGTTCCCAATGGTAGAGTCTGTACAGTCAGCCAGTCCCGTCGGTGCTGCAAAGCATTCGACAACTGATGAGATAAAATAAGGACTAATTTAGTGCTTTGCCAAAAGCTTGAAGCCTTATTTAGGCTTGCCATTGTTTGGGTTTTTTTGAGTGTTGATGCTATCACACACCCCTGCTTTCTGGTCTTGAGAGCCACTGTTGGTGCTACCTAAAACTGGGGTGACCAGCAAAGGGTGCTGTTTGTCAGGTCATCACCGTTCCTTGGACACACCGACCGGGTGGCTGCACGAGGACTTCTCCTGCGTGGCGCCCAACATGACACCTAGCCCAAAGCGCCCACCTGGGAGGGAAAAGCTTCCGCTTCTCTTGAACAGCAGCCTTCAAATTTTGCTGGTTGAGGAGGTACCCGGTGGTGAGCACCCCCGTGCCAGCCGCTGCGAAGAGCGCAGCAGTCGTACGGCCAGCAAGGAGACGACAGAAAGTGCCAGCCATCCTGCTCAGAGGTGATGATCTCTGGAAGAGAAGGCAGCCTGTGATCAGCCCAAAAGCCCTCACATGGTGCAAATGACAGAAAAACATTTTTAACAGCAGCCCAATAGAGGAAGCAATTTATCTTTATTATACGTTTGCACTGAAATAATGCGTTCAGACAAATGGTCAGCATTCATGGTTTCTCTATATATGTACTTTTGGTAGAGGTAGAAATCAGGTGGTTTTTAGTACTGTATTGAGCACACAACTCTAAAACAGATATTTTAGTTCTTTTAATGACTTAGGGCTATACTTGAGTCCTTTAGCTTGCTCCATAGCAACAACACGTAAGCTGGAGACATCTTTTCAGTGGCCAGAAAGGAACAGCAAGGTACTGAGTGCTACAGTCACATGTGATGGGATGTAGCAAGGTTCCCCTCAGTGCCATCACCTACAGAAACCACAAACTCCTGTGCCTTTTTCAGGCTAACGTGACCTGCTAAGCACTTTGTGCTTTTTCTCCCATAGGAATAAAGTTGGAGTAGCCTAGAGATCATCCAGCTCACCAAAGCAAAGGGTGCTTAATATGCATGAGACCTGAAAATTCTGACAGGCATGGGAAATGGGAGCCAACCCTTCACTGCCTTTTCCAATATAAGAAAACGCTCAATCAAACTGGAGGGGGGGAAAAAAAAAAAAAAAAAAGAGGTAGGATGTAGGTAGCTCTCTACACCAGTGGCCAAAGACTGATAAAACTCCTTGTCAGAAGAAAGATGATGTGAGTACAGACAGTGTGTACAGTTTCAGTGTGAGACTGGGCAAGCATGTGGAACAGAGATTAACTGGGCACTGAGCAGACAAAATGAAACAGGCTAACGAAACTCCTTGATGTGAAAACAGCTGGAAAGCTGTGCAAAGGAAAACAACCTGGGGGTGTTGGTTGATTCTCGCCTGAACATGAGCCAGCAGTGTGCTCAGGTGGCCAAGAAGGCCAACAGCATCCTGTCTTCTACCAGGAATCGTGCAGCCAGCAGGACCAGGGAGGTGATTGTCCCCCTGTACTCTGCTCTGGTGAGGCCACACCTGAGTGCCTCAAGAGCACCTTGAGTGATGTGTTCAGTTTTGGGCCCCTCAGTACAAGAAGGACATCGAGGTGCTGGAGCATGTCCAGAGAAGGGCTACAAAGCTGGTGAAAGGCCTGGAGCACGAGTCCTGTGAGGAGAAGCTGAGGGCACTGGGGTTGTTTAGTCTGGGGAAGTGGAGGCTCAGGGGAGACCTCATTGCTCTCTGCAGCTACCTGAAAGGAAGTTGTGGAGAGCTGGGGGTCAGCCTCTTCTCACAGATAACTAGTAGTAGGGCTAGAGGGAATGGCCTCAAGTTGAGCCACGGGAGGTTTAGATTGGAAACAAGGAGACATTTTCTCTCAGAAAAAGCAGTCAGGCATTAGAACAGGTTGCCCAAGGAGGTGCTGGAGTCACTGTCCATGGAGGAATTTAAGTAAAGCTTGGATGTGATGCTTAGGGACATGGTTTAGTAGGTAATATTTGTGGTAGGAGGACAGTAGAAGTAGATGATCCTGGAGGTCTTCTTCTACCTTGATAATTCTGTGATTCTTTTCTATGATTCTTTGGCTCTGCTCTCCTCTGAGCATCCACCTATGGCCACTGGGCTGTGCAGTCCACTGCTTTGGATCACTATAGTCATTTTTAACACTTGAAATGCTATGAAAATTTATAGAAATACTCTGTACCTATCAGGTAACTATACTGATAGGTTTCAACAGAAAATTTGTCTGGAGAAACCCAAATAAATTGACTTCTTTAAGACAAAAGGTGTCACCAGCAGAAGTACATTAAAAGTAGCTGTTTCTGACTCACAGCCTCTGAAGAAACGGAGGCCTTTCCTCTTTCAAAATAAAGAGAGACTCTCATTTGCTATTGTACCACACATCCTGCACAAAGACCTAAAATAGGAATGAACGTAATGGGTGCTAAAATCAGGGGCCCTGCTGCAGTGGCGCAGGGACAGGCAGCAATGCCAGCAAGATTAGCCAGGCTTAAAATACCTCATAGGAATCTGTGTGCCTGATTAATCCATTATTCCCAGTAACATGTTTGGAGTTCAGCTATGGCCTTGGCCTTGGGATTAAGACCAGGTTTGAGCAACCTGCCCATGGCAGGGGTGTTCCAATTAGGTATTTTTAAGATCCCTTCCCGCACAAACCATTCTGTGATTCTGTGATTCTGTGATTCTATGATTATGTCTGAAGTACAGGGAATCTCTCATTCTAGCAGAGAAAATGGCATGTTCTGTGATAGTCTGAGGAAAAGAATGGATGTGTTTTCTTCACAGTATCAGAATGCAACTAGTTTTGCAAGTGACTGTGTGTTTCTGGGGAAGACGTATGTCCTATTTAAATAAATGACACAAATTACATTTTGTGTCAGTGAAGAAAATTTTTTTCTTAAAACTGGATTCTGACAAGTCTGTTTTGGGAAATTGACAAGGAAGAGTTACAAGGGGACAGGAACTTTCCCCCAGGATAAGCTGCTTCTGTTGTTTTGTCAAGGTTTTAAAAAATGCAGTTCTTTGGATAATTTCTTTAACATTCTTTCAGAGGTTAAATTAAACACCTCAGAGTACTTGGCTTTCTTTTCAATGAACACAAGTGTTCTAATTTCCAGTAATTTCCATGAAGATCTGGGTTAACTAGCTGCAAACCAGCAATTTGGCTTTTCCACTCCTGTCTAAGGAAAATTGAAATGCTGCACCTCCATCTTTTCTGACAGACCTTCTGACCTGCTTTGCATGGTTTTTTGTTGCAAAGCATTGTCTACTTCGCACTTAATTCACCTACATAAGATGAGAAATGTGGATGTGTTTTGGGTTTAAGTGGTGTTTTTTCAGGGCCTGTATTTCTTAAAAATAATTTTATATTTTATACCTGAATTTTGTTATCCTGTCTCCTCAATTCCTCCAATATACAACATTGATCTAACCTTCCTTCCAGAGAAAGGTGCCATCTGACTGACAGAAGTTGCAGTATATTTTTCATTGCGAGAATCTCCCTCAAACAGAACTAGGGCAAGAGACCACCCGGGGTGGTCTCATTTTCCTTTCCCCGTGCGGAGCACATGGTGAGCTCCTCAGCTACCCAAGTCCTCGGGGTGCACAGCACCAGCACACACAAGAGATGTGCTGTGTGGGGCTGGGGCAGGAGTGGGCCGTTCTCTGAGAGGGGCTCCACTCCATGGATGCATTCATTTTGCAGGAAAGGCTCCCACAGCTGCAAGAAAAAATGCAGTGGGAGATGGTTTGACTGCAAATCACAACCAAGTATCAGGTTCACAGTCAAGATTTTTGTACTGCTTTCATGTCTCTGTATTTAGCAGATGGTGCTTGTGCCTTTTTGCAGTGTATCGTCTCCATCCCACACTCTGGAAATATTTGCTTATGACTAATTCGTGGAGAACTATTAGTGCTATACCTCAGTGTCTCAGAAACAAAGGATGTATTTTCATAACAGCACCATGTATTTACAGTTCTGTTTCACAGAAACCATACCTACTGCAACGAGTTGGCTGACAGTCAAAATCCTGCCCTGAAAACCAGCAGCCCTGCCAGCATCCCCTTGCCGATGGTGACACCATCACTTCAGCAACCCCAGGCACACCTCAGAGTCTCCACCAGATGGGATTTTTTGTGACCTTCCTAATCCTGCATCACTTCAAGGGACAAATCTGGCCCATACACCTGATTAAACTAGAGTAGTTGTGTGCAGTGTGTATTTAGACAGCCGGGTGAAGCACAGGAGTGTGTGTCTGTGGGCTGTTTTCTTGGCTGTGTTGTTGTCTATTGTGTGTCCCTATTCCCCAGGACATTATTGCCCTGTTGTGTCATGGAAAAGGCTTCTCCCTCCCTGAGGCAGGCTGTACATTACCTGACAAATGCTCCTCTAAGAGCTCTTAAAGCCTCCAACACTGGAGCTGCCACAGACTGCAGTAGGGTAACTACCTGAAAAGATAAAAAGAAAACAAACAGATTGAGACAGGTTATTTAAATTTAGAACAACGTTATCCACATATCCCTTTGTACAATGTAAGCCCAGCACATTGCATCCTAATGCTTCCTTCCCCAGAGCTGGCAGCACAGTGGGCAGGAGCTCGGTGCCTGCAGCAGTCGGCCACAGCCTTCAGACCCTGTCATGTCCTCAGGCACGGTGACTGCTCCTCAGCAGGGCATTGCTGTTGCAGGGACCACTGCTTGTTGCTGCTGAATGCAAAGGGAAGGCTGGAGTTTCATGTGGGAGAGAAGGAAAAGATCAGTGCTACAGGGATCTACAGTCTGCCTGTCAAAAACTCCTAATTGAATAAGCAGCTCCTGTCGCAAGGGAGGGCTATTGTTCTGAATGTAAAAGCGTGTAATGCTGCGGGACCCACCTATAACATTGTTATGATATATAGTAATAACATAAAGTGTTATTTTTTATGAGAATACTCCGCAGGCAGTCAGAACAGCACAAACAGACTGATGTAAACACTTGGTGGGCAAAAGCAGCAATCAAGGCAAAGAGCTTTTTAATAACGAGGTGGCACAATGAGCAAGACGCTTTATTTGACAGGAAACAAAGACATTTTGTTTTGTTTCAGATTTTTTTTCTCCTTTAATATTGCGTGATTTCTAAATAATGTATTGCTTCAAAGCAAAATTTCAAGAAAGGTCCGTTCTGAAAGCATCTGAACAGAATGGTCTCCAACTAATGAATTTTTCTTCAAAATTATTAGCTCAGCACGATTTCACATCATGAACAGATTCATTTGTTGCTGGCTTTTTTTCCCCCCACAGAATATGTCAGCCTGCACTAACAATGAATTTACACCATCACCACCTCTGTGGATTCAGAGAATGGCAATTATCAGAGCCAGGAGCATTACTGAAGGTGTAGTTTACTGACAGTCTTCCCTTGTGCTGCTGCTGATACGAGATCCATTCTTTCATAGAAGCACAGCTGGGAAGTGGAAAGGGTCATTTTTCAAGGTCAGAAGGATTCCTTGTTCCAACCCCTGAAAAAGAATTGAGAGGTCTCCCAAGCTGCTGAGGTGTGCAGGAAGGAAGGCACCTGCATCAGGAGAGCGTCCAACAGGCTGGAGAAGATGAAGGCATTCCAAAAGTTAATCAGCCCGAGTTAAAAATAAATACAACTCATATCTTATTTCATGCCTGCACTTGTTCCTCTTCACTGCCCTTTGCTACAAGTTTTATCAGCTTCTTGTAGAGATTTCTCCTAATTATTTTTTTCTATGTGTAGTACGGAACTCTACAGAAGTCACTATCTATCTCTCTTTTGATGTCTCTCCACCATTGCTGTACCATGTTTTCACATTTATGAATCTCCCTTTGACTCTTGTGCTCTGCAGGTGTAGTCTGGGGTCAGAGAAACAAGGAAACAACTTCTGAGACAGGTGTCGGCACAGAATGACGCCCAGCATGACTGCGTGAAGCAGTCATCTGCAACAGCAGGAACTGCATCCAACGAAGTCTTTACCCCTCCCTTTTTTTTACAATTTTGCTTTCCCCATAAGCAGGAGCGCTTCTGAGTAACCAGAAAAAAAAAAAAAAAAAAAATCACCACTGCTGTGGGATTTTGTCTGTACTAATAAAATATGTTTAAATATGTCCCAATAATCATTTACAGATTTCTCCTCAAAGATAATTTCTCTGCTAATTCATTTATAACTGCACCAAGGTTGCAGTAATTTTGTATTCTTTCAATGCACCACAAGTTACATGTGAATTCGGACTTTATTTTGGTAACATGAGACAGAATTAAATGGATCTAAGCTAGCCCTGTGTTTTTTACTCTCCAAACATTCCTTCAGTTGTCCAAATGAGGTCTAATTTCTATGGTATTGAACACAACATTTTTTTGGCTTGTTTGAGGATATTTTATAATTTTTAAAGACATTTTTAGGATTCATAGCACAAGATCTCAGGTCTCTGCCATTCATATGGCTCTCGGACAGTAATAACACTGTTCTTCCACAAGAGAATGGGTAGGTGCATTAAGAGTCAGACAGCTTCTTCCTCACTGACTTGATGAAGTCAGGGATTTCACCACGTTGTGTTAGAAATATTCAGGGAATTGACCTGTACTGAGCTGCCTCTGCGTAAGTCTGTGATGAATCTGGAGCCCTATATATACATTCTGGGCCTCACAAGCACCACTGAGCCAGCCTGTGCTATAACTGCAGGTGCACCTGCATTCACTGCCCATGGCATTGCTGTCGGGCTCGCCTTGCCAACTGCTGTGAGAGTAGCTTGCCAGGGTCACTGGCCTTGGTACACTGGTACAGTTCAAGGACCAGTTACATCTTGCTTTTCCTTGCCATGGTCAGAAGGACCAGCCTGTACAACCCACAGGGTTATGGTCACTGTCACTCAGCACTCACAGCACGTCTGTCCTCCTTGCCTTTGCAGATAGCATGGCCTTCAGCCATGCCCACGGTTGGGCATCCTTTGACTGCTGAAGGAGGAGCATAAGATGTACATGCATCAGCTGGTGTTCAGCAGCATCTGGGTTTCCTATGGGTAAGGGGCAGGGAAGTGTCTTTTTGGTCTTATCAGCAAAGTGTGCTGTGAGACACACTGATGGCTCCTGGCATTTGAATCTAGCTTGCGGCTTTACAAAATGCTTGAACGAGATGTTGTACGCATTTTACCCTTATTGCGTCATTCTGTGCATACATTGGATACTGGCTTTGCCCCATGACAACTTTTTGAGATGTCTTTCGTATCCCTCCATGGTTACGTATGCTTTTGGCCCAAGGACAGGGCCTGGCACACAGTTCAGTAGCTCTGGGAGTGGACTTTGTCACTGGTAAAAAGTCCTTTGAAGTTTTGCTTCCAAGGTCATTTGTACTTGCACTGCTTGGAGAATGCAAAAGTGCTCTTCTACAGAAAAATAAAATAAAATAAAAACAATAAAAACAATAAAAAACAATAAAAAGCAGTTGGCTCAGAAGCACTTGCTTTGTATCTTCCATGCAACAGGTTCACACCTACAGTGAACAGTTTTCATTAATTCTTACAAGCCTGATCGTGGATCAGAAGTGACGAATTGAGAGAGGAATAAATGTAACATTGATTTAGATTAACAGCCCCTGAGCCATACAGTATGTATGTAGCACAAAGTGTCTCCAAAACCACCTTTTCTTCACAGCTGAGCAGCATCGCTCCTGATCTCTACACATCAGCACCATCGAGGGCAAATGAATTCAAACTGGAGTTGCCTTTTGCAAAGCAATATTCTATGAGCTGTCAATACTGATGGCCAGTGAATCAGCAAAAGGTTGGAAGGTCTTGAAAAGCCAAGATCCTCTAGGTCACACACAGCCTTTACCTCTCTGCTCACCCAAAGGATTTGCTCTGCTACCTGTAGCCAGCCCTCAGAACATTAATGTCCTGACAGGACTTTCTTCAGCTTTTAAAACTGCATTTTAATATATGTATCACCTCCCATGCACACCACATGTAAGAAAAAGCTGGCTGCAAGACTTAGCAATAGTCATTACTGTGATTCTGGTGCTGGATGAGAAATAGCCCAAAGGATTGCAAGTGTCATTTCAGGTGCTGAGGCTGTTGGTAGCCGAAGGGTGAATCTCAAGATGAGAAAAATTTGGAGAGTGTCTATTTCATGGTCTTAAAATCAGTATCCTTTCTTTTTCACGACACACCTAGACTAAGGTCTCTGTTAAAGGTGAAGGTCCTTCTTCAGAAGAAATGTGTTTTTTTATAGGCCAGGTTGCTAGCCAACACTACATGATATTTAATATCTTTGACACTTATGACAATTCTGTAGAACCATGACATATCAAAACTCCCCTTGCTGCTGTGACCAGAGGCTGAGGAGCGTTCTTCACATTTGGTTGATTGACAGCTACCATGGTGCTCAGACAGCCCCAGCAGTGTCACATTGCACATGGTCATCTTGTGACCTGCACACAGGTGAAGCCGTTGCATCCATATCTGGAAACATCGGAGGAGAGTGAATTATGGTGAATGCACAAATCACCTCTTTACCCTTTAAGGAAATTGTTAGCTTTACTGCTACTTCTACTACAGACAAACAAACACTTGCTATTAACCCTTTGCTTTCTTGAACTTTTTGTAAAGAGGACATCACCAGCAACATTTCCCCAGGTGGGAATTAGTGTGGCTGAACACGAGCATTGGTTATCCCTAATTTCACACCAGACAGCATGTGTGCTTTCAGCCAAGGAGGCAAAGAAGGTGCAAGGGTTACAGACTGAACAGTGACATTTCCAGAAATAGAACGAGATTAAATATTTGAACCATGTCATGGGTGGCATTAGTTGCCACACCATGTGACCCTGAGCGACATTCCAGAGAAATGGCAGAGTCATAGCTAAAGTTCACACCAGCTCATAAACACAGGTAACGTATATGCTCGTCTTAAACTGCTAAGCTGTTTAGGTCATGCTAACACTGTAGTGAGCAGAACGTTCACGTGGTGGAGAGAGAGGTAATGAATGAGGCTGGTCTGTTATTTCTGAGAAGTAATTCCTTTGAGTCAATCCAAAGCCTGTAGACGCCAGTGGAAAGTTTTTCTCTGCCCTTCTATGGATGTTGCGGGCACCTTAGAAACATCTGCAATAAATGTCACAAGTGTCTAAATGCATGAGGCACCATTTTTAGATGCCCAGAAAACAGCTTACATTGCTCTTTGTTGGCTGTATCACTCTAGAAGTTCAGAGGGTAAGATATAAATTACAATATTAAATCTCATAAAGCAGTATTGGTGGTTTTTTCCAGCTTCACATAGCTTGGGTTAAGCAACACACGAACTGTATTGACTGAGCAGGGCTTAAGATAGTCTCCAAAGTGCAGAAGCAGTGTTAGTGCAGGCATCATTATAACCGTGCCTAATCACAGCAGAGAGCTTCTCTACAATAAAAATTAAAAAAAAAAAAAAGTTTCTTTCTGCTCAGAATTCC